GGCCCGTGGCCACTACCAGTCCTGTGCAACCTGACCTGACCTGACCTGACCTGACCTGAGGAGCATTTTCCGGACGCAACCCGGTCGAAATCACACGGCCTATGGAGTTTTCGTCCGACCAGTCTCTCTCTCTCGTTCGTTTGGAATACCGTCTTACCTTGTTACATTTATAAATTGTAATTAACGGGCCTGACTCTGAACGGGAAATAAAATCGTGGTATTAACTATTTTCCTCATCGAAATGAATGGAAATTGAAGCTGGTTTATGAACATTTAAAAAGGTTATTATCGATATTTCAGTAGTAAAATCCGTATTAAACAGTTTGGATTAATTATATTTATCATATATTACAGACTCCCGAGCACATTTGTATGTTTATCGTGATTTCGACTGATCACTCCGAAATGTTTACGAAAATGTATGCCATGTGATTGTGGTACAATAGTCGTTTATAGTCACGATGGTCACAAACGAAAGCTGATAAATGAACACACAAATCAGTTGATGTAATTTTAAAGGCCCGTTTCCGTAGTTTGGCCTTAGAGGTTTCCTTACTGAATGAGGATACACACTACCACCTAATTTCGGGGAACTTTTCCGGCCAACACGCATCCAATGCCACCTTGACATTTGCCCATTAGTACAGCTGACCATTCCTGTGGGTCTCTTGTTCCACAATGGTGTGACCTTGTGTGAGAAGAAGTTCATCCGGACCTCCAACACCGGCTTGTGAACAAGCATTTTGCCAACACCACAACAATAATAACTAGCAATAACAGGATGGGGCATTTGGATACAGAACAGAGGGACAAGAAGGCGAAAAACAGATAATCTGGAAAATTGCAGATAACTGGGATAACAACCTTCTGTGTTTCACTTTACACTGATATTTTTTGTGTTAATTTATCGTTTCCTCTTATGGGGCACCTGATTTTAACAGGCAGACCGTACAGCATTCGCGCCACTGACTTCTATTCTGGGCCTTATCTAAGCGTCTCTAACCAACGAAAATCCCCATCCCTTAGGCCCCAACCTGGAAGGTGGGCTGCACTAACCGAAGCCAAAGCTGAGCATCCTTATACCTCTACTCCATGTCATGGCCTAACTGCCGCGGTGCTTCTTCCAGCCTTGCCCGACACGTGATATATATATCTGCAATTTTCCAGATAATCTGTTTTGCCTTTTCACTCTGTTCTGTATCCCAATCGCCCCATCGCCTGTTATTGATAGTTATTATTGTTGTGGCGTTCGCATCATGCTTTCCCGCAAGCCGGCGTTATATATGTAAATATATACTGCTAAACTGCCGACCGTTCCTGTTCATCGTTTATCGGGTATACAATTTCGGGTTGATCGATATTTCGGAAGAAGAGTATCCCTATAAATGTCTCAATTTTTTTAGGTTTTGTAAATTCTCACAATGAGACAACAGTTGACGAGCACAGCTACTGCAAAGGTGAACATCGAAATGGATCCATCGCGGATGCTACAGTTTTCCCGTATGCATTCCGGTTTGCCAGTTTTTGCAAAAGAATCATTAAGAAATTCGAAAAGTATGCACATATTTGCAATGCTTACAGATTTTCAGATTCCAGCATAAAATTTTATCCCGGAGGATGGCTGGCTATTGTTGCCGGAAATGAACTTTTCATATGGAAATACATATCGGCCGCACAGGTTCGTCTTTACTTTTTTTTAATCATATATCGATTTTAACGCCTTGATCCATGCTTTTGCGGATTGTGCTTATTAAATAAAAATAAAAACATGGAATCCATTAATTAACCTGAAAGCTATCTGTCATGCCTTCAGAATTTACCGAAATCCTCGTAGCTCAGCTGGCAAATCGTGTGCTTTACAAAAGATTAGGTCGCCTCCATGAATCGGTTCACATCCCACCGGGTCTGTTGATCTTTCCCTTTTTTATTACTCACCTTAGTGCGATGAACAACAAATGTGGAAAGCCCCATAGTCACGAGGACCTGCCATTCAGTGATGGAAACCGGCATCCTAAGTCCCGCGGGACCTGGAGTGGTGAACCACGTAAGGCCCTGATGGGTTAAGTGGTATTGTACGCGACGACAGCAAAGCTGCCTACCACCAAAGTTGGGTGGTGGTGGCGGGGCTTGAACCTCAGACCATGGTTTTCAAGGCACACCGGTGACAGCGGCTAAACCACTGCTCCAATTCCAAACAAAACGAACGCAATAGTATTTTACATTGGACTGATAAAGGCAGCTAATTTATTACGGGTGCATCTTTCTTTAAAAATTGGGTAAGCTTATCGCATAGTAACATTACCAGCTCACATGTCCATTAGTTAAAGTAGTAAAAAAATCCACTACTACTAATTGTAATTATAATTAGAAATTATGTAGGTGTAAAGCCTATATTTCATTTAAGTGTAAAAATTGAACAAAGATAACGAAAAGTGGAATCCCAAAAGCTTTTAACTAAGTCTGTGAAATCCTATTCTTTGTTAACTGGAATCCGTGTTAAAGGTACCATAGAGCTGCTATATGTTTATTTGAGAGGGAATTCAACGATATTGGGATCCTTTTGGCGGATGGGAACAACAGAAAGTTGAATCTGCATGTGTCTTGTTGATAGGAATCTTATGTGCCAACTTTTCACAGGCATTCAAACAACGTTCGCACAGATGAGTTACCAACTCCTCTAGCGGTATTAAGGAGACGCGGCTAGTGATGATAAGCTCACGTCGAAGCAGTTTAAAATCTCTATAAGATTGAAAAAGCAACAGGTGAACAAAAAAGTAAAACAAGGAAAACACACTGGTGCACGAATTCGTAGATAATCCATTGTTGAATATGAAACTCACAAGGTTTATGGATATGGAAGTTTACTGACGATATGCTGAATGTGAGAGCTACCATGAATATTAGCACCGATAAAGAACCCCAGGTGTCTAATGCAACTAGCCAGGGATACTTTTTCAGAGCCAATCGATACCAGTTCAGATGGAAAAGAAGAAAGTGGTAAAGAGACATTTGACATCATTAGAACGATTAAAAGAGAGGCCGGATATAGCGGCAAATTGTTGAACGTTTTCTAAGTTGTCAGAAAGTTGCAAAAGACCAAAGGAACCTGAGGTTGTATGACATAAAACCACATTGTCAGCGTATTTGAAGCGAGAAGTAGGGGCGTTAGCAAACAAGTCGCCAATATAGGTGGAAAATAGGTATGGGAAGCGAACTGCATCTTGGAGTACCCCAAAATTGTTCACCAGTGGTTTGGATTTCTTCCGACCTAACCTGGCAGACTAAGTTCTCCCAGAGAAGTAATCAGTAAGCCAAGCTAGTAAATGTCTCGGACAACCGAAGGCCTCTAGTTTACAAAGAAGAAGAAACCGAGTAATAGCATCAAAAGCAGATAAATAGTCCGGAAACACAACGAACAGATTTCGCAAAGCCTTTGAAGGAATTGGTTAATTTTGTTTGCAAGTGAGGAAACTGCATCTTGCATGTATCAGTTTGGTTTGTAGGCAAATAAACAGGATCATACGAGACATCAAGTGTTGGCTGAATGCGCGTAAGGACAACACGTTCTGCTTGTCTGAGACCAGAAGAAGTTAAAGCGATGGGAAGGAAGTGTTTGAAGTAGAGGATTTAGGAATAGGAACAGATTTTACCGGTTTCCGACGGTCTGGTATGGAGCAGGTTTTCAAGGAAGTGTTTAAAAATGCTAATATTTCGTTAAGAGAATACTCGCCGTACCTCAGAAGGGAAGGTGAGAGACCATCAGGACCAAGACTGAGTGTGGTTTTCACGGTACTCAAAGACTCAATAGTTTCTTCTTTTGAAACGGCCTCTATGTGAACGACATCATCCAGAGCGAATGGTGACATGGCATCCCTTGGTGGGCGGATCGATGTTGCGTTTTTACTGTCCAAATCCGTTGTACAACCCGGAGTTTTGGCTGTGGTCTCATAGTAATTTGTTACCTCGCCAAATTCGCCTACCATTGTTGCATTTCAAAAATTAGGTGTACGACGCGGAGGCGTTTGACTTCAGCTTTGATCTGGTTAGTATAATACTTGACAGCCGCTGAGTACGATCGTTCCTTCGGTGTTCTAAATGATTTCAACAGTGGAGATACTGTTCTACCGTTACAGACTAACAGTTTCCGAAGGGCAGCTTAGATCAAACATGTGGTTTAGTGGTTTGGTGAATAAGTTGACTGCATTATTTAAGAAAGGGAAGGACAGGATGAAAACCACGAAGAAATGACACTAATGGAAGGCTTCAGAAGAAGAGTATTTCTGGGGAAGGGATTGCGAAGGCTAAAAGTGATTGGGTTGGTGTATTGAGAACGGAACAGGAGTACACGGTGGGTCTTATGAAAATCATCGCGTAGTCACTAGTAGAAAGAGGTGATTTAAGTTTTAGGGCAAAATGTTCAGGGTGATTAGTAATTACCTTATCTAAAAATGGGGGATAAATATTGGTTATGGCATGATTGGATGCGTGATGAAAGTCGCCAACAACAATGTGGAGATTTTCACCCGTCAGTGGAACGAAAGACGGTATAAGTATATCAAAGAACGATGATAGCTGAGACTGGGTGCACGGTCAATAAGCTAGCAAGTGATCTGCCTGCAGTGGGAAACCAAAAGTAAGCTAAAGCATCATGATGTGTCCGAATATAACCGTCCACCACATAGAGCCTCCACNAATTGGTAGTAAAATGGTTAGTGGTTCACCTTCTCGTCAAAGCTAAGTACTAATGTGAATCTCCTTTTGAATGACACATAATCCTTTCGCGAATTATTGTATGAATGTTGTTAAGATGTTAGAGTCGGCTTAAAAAACTGAAAAGTTAGTTAACGGGAAGAGAGAAATTTTATACAACCTTATGTTCTTTTTACCCTCAGTCCCGTTCAACCTGTCTGCGATTCACAATGCCCNGACTTGCCGCATACGGCTCGTTTGGTATGTTTGGTTTTTCCGACGCATGGTCCCGAGTGGTTTCCGACCGGATGTTTGGCTCTGAGTCCCTGTGGTCAAAATTTGAGGCTTTGGCCTCAGCTCACACGCAACTATGTTCATTCAGATGTGACGCCTTCAACTTTGGTCCATGGCTTATATGGAGATGAAGCTATCCAAATGGAAGCAGCTTCAATGGTAAACAAATGTATTCGGATGTCTGGGTCAAAGATTTATTACTTACACCTGTTGGAAATGTGGTTATATTTATTTTGTGGTACATTGTAATAGTTTGTATCCTCTTCAAAGTTTTCATCCTTGAGATTTCTCCCTCTTGCTATATATATATATATATATATATAATACTATATGAATGACTGGACAAAATTTCCCTTTCCTCTTTCAATAAACCTTTTTGTGTTCATCATATTGCGAATGATTGTCTGGATACGTTACACTTGACTTTTGTATTTTGGAGCGAAATTCTGTGCGATTAAGTTAGAGCTGTGCGTGATTCCTCGCGGTCAACTAGGGTTCTCATTTTTTGCCCACCAGGGATCTTGTATTTTCCTCGCAGATTCTCCATTTGCAACGCTGAATGCATTTGTTTGGACAGGCCTTTCCTAACCGTGAACACATAGCAATTTTGTCAGAGTTTGGTATTATCTGTGCGTCAGATTATCAAAATGATCGTCTTATCACACGTGAAATAGTGAGAGAGCTGAAGGTTTTATTCACCAGAACCTAGTTTTGGATTATGGGACCCCCTGACCGACGTGACTGGTGAACTGTATAAGGCCCTTATAATATAGACAACACAGAAGCTCTCTATCACCAAATTTTGATAATATCACCAGGGTTCTATCCTCTAACCTCATCACCATTATCAACAAGCACGACGTCATTATCGTTATCGTACAGCGAAATGCAGAGAAGCGAAAGTCGTGCATGCACTTCAACTCTATTCTCATCTTCTCTTCCCCATTTCATTATTGAATCAGCCCGGGGTGTACTTGCTGGCCACAAGGACCGCACATCTTATGCTAATCGATGCACGAAACACACAGGTACAGTTCTCTGCATACTTGATTTGACTCCAACAACAACTGATATTTTGATCTTACTAGAACGGCTATGAGTGAGCGCTTTCGTGTCTTTGCTTTTCAGAATGGCGTGAATTGTCGTGTCCTGGCAAATCGCCCGTTCACGGTCCCCGGGGGAGAGAATACTAGTCTCCTATCGGGATTAAGTCGTCGTGTGTCCAACCTGTTCAGTATTGTGGCATCCTCCGGCGGATTGGGGTCGCGGCTTTTGCCCACCCGTGGAGAAAACACAGTATGTGTTTTGATAAACGCAGTTCAAACTAATGTGTAGTAGTAGTGTAGTGGTTACCAGCCCATACTCACCGCTTTTTCTCTATCATCCGATATTTTCAGGTATTTTTGCATCTTCTCACCCAACCACACACATCGACCAATACTTGTTTGATATATATGCTGATGGAACATCAGTTGGATATATGGTCACTTGACGCCAATCTAGAAGAGCATGTGAGTTCAATTTCTTTTTCTTTTCTGTTTCATTTTTACTTTTTTTTGAATACACAAAAATACAATTTTCAGAAAGGGAAAGTGGCCACTCAAAGGGCTGCCATACAACACAGAATGGAGAAAGTCAGGCGGTGGTGTTGGGATTCGAACGTACTTCCTCCTGGGCGATAATTTGATGACGTTACCACCAGGCCACCACTGATAGAAATTTTTATGCAGTCAGCAGCACAAATCGAGCTGCGTCACAAATCAAGTAATCCTCTCTGTCTTCTAACAGTTGTCTGCGCGAAATAGCGTTTAATTTTTTATTGATAACTCTGACCCCTTGAGTGTATTTCAATCGGTGATGCTTCATGAAGTTTGAAGTGAACCCGTTTCTCACAGCAAGGGTTCGGAATACGTGAATATGTTTAGCTAAAGGTTATTCGTTTGCAAATGATGTCATACCTCTTTCAGTCCGATTCCATTCTGTCATGGAGTACCGGAACAAGTTATTCATTTATCAACTCGGATAGTCGGTTACTGCCGGTTACCATTGGGTTTTCGAATGGAATGTCGCTTCGACTACGGGAAGCTCATTGATCAGACTGAACGAAGTATAGCATCACTGCGACAACCTCGCCTGACTTGTTGTATGGTGAGGTGTAAGTGTAATGTGTAGACAATAACCATTTCTGTTTCTTGTTCCGATAACCTGGGGCTGATGAGGTTTTCCGTGTAACCGAGTGACGTTATAGATTCCGTTCGTATTAAAAGTTTGACGACGGTAACAAGAGCTGATCTTAGTTGCTGCCCAGCATCAAAGTTGACGGATAAGCCACTGAAAACATTCAAAATACTATAGAACATATCTAGTGAGATTTACATTTGTAATAACAATACTAGTAAGGGAGATATTCAACCCCACCGATTTGAAGTATCAGCTCGGCAATCTAACCCCACCATATCAACAATTAAGAATATCATTCCTTTTTTCCGCTTTAAGGACCGATTACCTTAATCACCTGCCAATAAAGCCTTTCCGATGACATTCGTGATACTCTTTCCCTACAACGAAGTTGCTGACAAATACCCGCTTCGTTCATCGTCCAAACCATGGTTGGAGACATTGAAGGTCATGGCTGCGAACCGACAGCAATGGTGATCTTGCTGTCACTTCTTATCAGACCAGAATGCTCAAAATAGTATGTATGCGTAGTTGGCCTGTGTCCTCTGTATGTTGACCATAGAGGTTCGCTTTCCTTTCCTGTTCATAAAATTAAGTCCAATCCCTATTGCGCCGNCTTAGCAGACTGAAATTCCTCGGTAACTTAGTTTCGATAGCTATACGAACGATATGGACAGAACAAGGCTATGGGCAGCAGAACGAAGTCCAATAAAGTAGCAGTGTTTATCGACAGTGGTAATAATTGTAGTTCTAAAATCATATAGTAATAATAAAGCATAAAATGTAACCCACAGCCAAGTGAGCAACCAAATTACAGAGCAGCAGTAACAGTCCGTGACAGCAAGGAAGGAACAAGGTCTATCCGGCAGACAGGTAAGCCTAACAGTAGCGCAGCAGTGAAATTCAAATTGGGAGAGGTTGCGGTACGGTATGGAAAAGGCTTACAATATATTTTAGTTCCGGAATCAAACGACAGAAGGAAATTACATTGTATTAGGCCGAAATGTAGTGAATGCTAGCAAGTTCGAATGCGATACAAAGGGGTGGTGTTAAGGTATGCGTATCGGAGGGTAGCATTGACAAAGACAGTAAACAGTCGCTCAGTGAGTGTGGCGTGGTGGTAACGTGTGTGTCAATCAGGGGGTGGTCTACGGTTCGAGCCCTGCTGGTGGCAGGCTTTTACTCGCAGAACAAGCGCTCAGAAAAGTTTTATGTCAATGGGAAAATGCAACCTTATGAATAAACAGTTAGAAATCACAGCATTAAAGGCCCGGTAAATACGCTCACAGAATATATAAATTTCATAAATATAGACGCTGTGGGATGCACAAAAATGAAAGTAAACTTCATGTGAGTAATGGAGGATGTGATTCAATTTCAAATGGGAATTCGTCGTGTATATAGCAAATAAAACGTGAACTGAAAATCTGCCGGTAGTGGGTAGCATGCTTGCGTTCTGCCCATAAAGTCCCGGGTTCGATCCCCAGTTGGGTCCATGGATTCGCACTGCTGATGAGATCCAACCGGGTTGAAATAGCTGTCCAGTGCTTCCTAGCTTTTCAATTCACGTTTCACGTTTCATTGGCCACATACCCGACGAATTACCATTTGAAAGTCTAGCTGTTGGGAAAATAAACGCTGTATACTACTCATGAGTAGTCTGGTGGACGCCGAAGACACATCTGATTACGAATAGTGATTAACAACTATCCTCCATACACATTCTCACTTGCCTTGTGTGCAATGAGTTTGGCAGAGTCAGTGAAGTTCTCTCCACTGTATTACACTATACAATGTTGATGATGATCAGCGTCTAGTCAGTTTGAGGCAGTGCTCTCTATACCATTTCAACTTCAAATGAATCCAGCCAATCGCACTCCTTTGGGAATCCCACAAGATGATTGGTGTTTTGGCCGTCATATATCACCGACTGGGCCTGGTCTGTCTAACGCCATCCGGTCTGAATGAATTCACTTCCCCGTAAACAAACAAAAGTACTTTTTGATTGAGTTGACTTAATACTGAATGTCGAATAAGAGAAAAGGTTCAGTGGCACCCCATATTCCACTTTGCAGTATTTTTTCTCGTATGTGTTACCACGAAAGATTGTGTAAACGAGCTGCCTATCATATAGTTGGAAAGCAATAACATATTTCCTACTCTGAACTGAGCTGGGCGGTTATGTAGACATTTCACATTGTTACTCACTGGTGTCTTCCGGATTATATTCATTCCGCTCTGAACCAGCCCGGTTTGTAGAAAATAGTGCATATTTTAGCTGTATTCCATCCGCGAATAATTCAAACATCTTTGTCATAAAAAATCAGGTTAATTCAAATCAAAATAAGCTTTATGCACCCGAAGAGTGATTTCCACGGGAGTACAATGGGAACGGGAAAAACCAGTGTAGAAGAAGTAAACAAAACGACAGAACCCTGTGAACACGAAGTCAATATTACTCGTTAGAAAAGAGCTCAAGAGATGTTCTATCAGATCTACAATATTTGGTGCCCGGTTCACTAAAATACATGCAAGATAAGGGAGGATGCTGTTTCTATATTTGATGTTGCTTGCGGGAAAGAGCTTATAATGGGAGCGGGTCAGTGGTTTTGACATGGATATAATATTATTGTATCATGATTTTGTTGGTATACAGTTAGGGTGTGCACATCACAGTGTCTCAGATTGTTATGCGTGGTCCAAACTCTTCTCTAAATTTTCTTTCTGGCATTATAACTCCCTGAGTAGAAACATTTTGTGGTTCTGTCTGTGTTGACATTATTTTACGCCTTAAAGGCACAGAACGCTTGTCGAACATCCTCACTACTTTTCGTTGACTCGAATTGACCTCAAGGAATCGGTACCCGTACAACACGTACATGTATGTAATATGTATCTGTGTCTTGGAAAGATAGAATTCTAAGGGTTTTACGCTAATGCTTCTTTCTGGTTAGTATGATGCCCCGGTTGATTACATCATTGTAGACGACTGTAGATTCTATCCCTTATACTTGCCTAATTTCATTCCTATCCTGAATCTAGTTACAAGGCCAATATGCGATTGAGTCCTTTCTACCGACAAATAAATGTGACACTGCATTGTGGCGTGCGGTTGACATGGCCATCCGTTGGGGTTCTGAAGTCTCATCGGACTCATCTCTCGTGTACTTGCTAGCCAAACCGCATGGTGATTGTCAAACAACCTGCCTCATTTCACTGACCGTGGATGGCACAGAACTGTACACATTCCAAGCTATACGCCATTCAGCAGTGATCATCGAATGGCCTTTCAAAACATTTGATCATGATTCTCGTCCGAATGCTGGTGGAGGGGACAAATCGTGGGAACTGTGCTTACCCGCTTTATCGGAATGGGAACGCACAGGTCGTGGTGCACCCGCGTACCCGTGCCTGTTGGCCTCGGTCTGTCGTGCATCTCTCGGTCAGGTTGTTCTCGTCGAAGGTGATTTTCGAACAGCAAATTAGTTGTTGTTTTCATGTATTGTTTTTTCTCAGAAACTGTTCTATTGCTGCTCGGTTTTTCGGTTTACTACATACGTACAGCACTTAGTTACACCGGTACGTGCCCCGTGCAGTTTTGCTCTTGCTATAAGAGGATCGAATAATCTGAATGTATCGTTTTTTGACAATTGTCTCACTCGGTCCAGCAATACTCTCACAACTACAGACGGTCTTTTCACCAGATCGCCAAATTCTTAAAAAAGGCTGATAAATCCGAAGCTCTCTAATAGTGCAACCATTTCTCTGGACTCCAACTTTTCAATGGTCTATCAATCTCTTCTTGCCTGAATTGTTATCACCTCTTACACATTCACTGGCAAGATGGTGCATCGGTCCAAACGGATTTCCGGTGTCATAAATTGATTCGGTGCGTCATGGCCAGCTTAGTTAAACGCCTAACAAACCGTTGTTTCACATACCTCGTTAATGCCGTGTCCAAGCTAAGACCTAGCATGAGGGTATGAAAACCCTAACCAGGAGTCTGGGTCACATAGGTCCAGTTGGGCTCCCTGGATGGGGACCTCGGGATGATCGTAACCGATGGTTAGACACACCGAATGATATGGCTGGGTGTCGTAAACAGTGGCGTTCGTGCATCTCAATTTCTCTGCATCGTTAGTCCACTGAAGTCAATTTTCTTTTTGATCTTACTTTCACCCTTCCTGTTTTCCTCCTATGGGCGGCCAAAAGACAGCAACCAAAAGCGTCGCACGGAAATGCATGCTTAATGGTTGTTTAAACTGAGAACAGAAACTGCCGTTTCAATCTGAGGACAAAATATCATACCCTCCGTCGAATATGTTTGTGCTTGATCTCCACTTAGTTACTTCTAGTCTTCCCTAATGTCCGAAAATGTAACTAAATGTATAAGGCTCTACGAATGACCTATGTATGTTTGAGAATATGCACTTCTCTTGTTCAGGCACCGACTCCTGTTGAATTGCTGTCTCGCTCGTTGTTTTATAAAGCTGAGTTGGAAGCGTACAAGATTGAGTGATTCCTTAAAAGTTAAACCTTTTTTATGCGGTTCTTCGTAATTTCATCTCCATCGCTTTTAGTTTTGACTGGAAACTTGGTCGCAAAGCTGGATTTCGGTTGTTCTTCGTCCGGGGATGGTGGCATGGTTTCCGCTCTTCTCGGTTGTGGTAGTGTCGACTCTCAAAATCTTTTCGTTTACGCCACCAGTCACCGGGGTCTGTTTGCATTGATTCCGTCGGATGAAACATTTGACACATCTATCGCACGGGAGGATGACGAGAGAAGTATTGAAAGTTCAACTGGTGGAGGATCTAAATCACACTGGACCGCAGCTAGGTTCGTGTCCCGTTTCACTTGATATCCGATTCAACTGTGACCAGTGAATAAAATTTTCTCTAAGTGATTCTGTTGTTTTGCATGGTGATTGACCAGTTTTAACGTAGAAATGCTTTCATCTGTACTTCCCCAGAGGAACCTTCCCTAAGGATTATTCATTTTTTGTCAAGTGAAATCATCCAAAACCCTAACAACAAATCTACTTTGTTTGCTAATCCGTGAAACAATTGGAAACGAAACGGCACACCGCGTACAAGATTTGAAGCATGTCCATACTGCTTTTCACTATTCCGGTTATTCGCATGCAATGCAAAAAGACATACGAATGATTGAAATGGGCACATTTATCTTGGAGTGGCACTGTAATGTGAAATGCTTCCCGAAGGAACTGCACCTTGACGTGATTTGTACACCTCTATAAACCAGCGAGCCACTCAGGATGACCACTTTTATCCAACCGGAAGGTCTAATCATGTCTGAATAAACTGAGAGATCAAATCAAGTCGGAATTGTCTTTATACATCGAATTTTCAAATACTCATAATGATGAAAACGATTTCTGAAGTCGAAGACAAAAGCCAGGAGGCTTCGGTGAATAGAAATTTACAGAGCTCTACAATATTTTGTTCCTGGGTTTGTTCACATTTCGGCGTGTATGCTGATTGGGCGTTTGGCTTCACTGAAGGTTAGCGTTTCCAATATTTGAACAGATGTCAAAATCAATTCAGTTGGATTCAATAGTTGTATATCAGACGCTGATTATTTAATGCATAATTTTGTGGACTCCGTTTCTTCCCTTACTTTCCAACCAGGGTTAATAATTCCTGATCGAGGACTAGTGATTTTCATTCTCCTGTGGCTTTATTCACATTGTCTGCTTTGTTTCGATTTCCAATGAATCCCGTCTTTCAGTCAAGATACTAGTCATCCAGGTCCCTCAAAACCCAATCAAGATCGTGGTCCACTAATCCTTGTTCGAACACAGTCCCAGACGCGCTTGGTCACTGTTCGGCTGAATGCGGATCGACTCATCGTTTGTGACGCGAGTGTGGATGACTTACCTATGGTCAAGCTTTCCGCACCAGATTTAACCTTCGTTACGCTTTGCGAAGTGGCTCGTATCTTTTGGATGGGTTTTGAGGTAAGATTTACGACCGATTGCATTCCGTTTCTCTGAGGCCATACAATTTTGGGATTAATCAACGATATATATATGTATATGTATATATATAACACCGGCTTGAGATCAAGCTTGGTGCCAACGCCATAACAATAATAA